ATAGACCTTTAGGTTCATATCAAAGTTTAACATTAATTTTGGCATTTAAAAATTGTAAGTACCTAAAGCTAATGGTTAAGCAAGAATAAAAGGTGGTGCGTGCTGAAGAATTTTTTGTTAATTTTTTTGCTATTTCAGGTGTTGTGCCTTCTAAACCTGCAATACCTTTAGTGAAACTCAAAGCAAGGAATTCACAAGTTTCATACCTTTAACTCAAAACTATTTATACATTACTATGTGACAGTATAAAGTTGTAAATGGGATAACTACTGAAATTTGGCCGTAAATCACGGATTTTTAGCTGCTAAAAACATTTAACTACCCTTTGTGTGGGTGTTAAAATCATGCTCTTAGTTCAGCATCTCATTCATTTTAAGCACATTTTAAAGACAATTTTTACAAAAGGTAACCTTGATCTATGCTAATGATTTAACTAATTGAAACAGCAGAGGTAAGGCCTTTTCATCAGTTAAAAAATTTCTAGTGTTTCAGTTGCCCAATACTATGAATTTTATGATAATATATAGCATTTGTAGTTACCTTGGAAAAAAATTCCATGGTTTAGTTGGTAAAATGTTAGCTAATAATGTGCCGAGTTTCTTAGCTTTTGCCCAATAAACCCAGAAATTATTAAAAAAAAATTTAAATGGTGAATAGCTCATACTTTTGCTATTTCAATGAGTTAAATGATTAACATAGATTAGGGCTATCCTTTTTTTTAATTGCCTTTAAAATGTGCTTAAATCGAATGAGATACTGAACTAAAAGCATGATTTTAACACTGACACAATGGGTATTGAAAGGTTTTTAGCAGCTAAAAATACTGAATTTTTGGACACAATTCAGTAATTATCCCAGTAACAACTTTATACCGTCACACAGTAATGTGTGAATAGATTGGATTCAAATTTAACAATTTGGCAAGAAAGTTGTTAATTCCTTGCTTTGAGCCCAGTAAAGGTATTGCAGGTTTAGAAGGCAGAACACCTGAAATAGCCAAAAGATCAGCCATGACATTTGAAGTATGCTACTTCGTACACATAAGCAGCATGCATCTGGATATTTCATTGTAGGCTGATTCAAAATTTATGAGGCACTGGCTAATGTCTTGTATCTTGCAAAGTTTCAAGTAAAAATAATAAGAACTCACAAATTCACTATTATAGATCAGGACAATTTGCATAAAATGCATCCAGTATTTTGCTGCAGAAGACAAGATTCTTGCTTGCTTCAGGATACAGTGTAAATAAAACACCTATTTTTTTGCCTAATGAATGCCATACATGCAGGCTGTAAATACTCTGGAATCTGCAAATGATTGCAATATTGAAAATGAAGACGAGGTTAGGTCAGAATGTTCATCTCATCAAGATGATGGCTATGATGAAGGTAAGACATGATGACGCCATCTACTTTGATTTTTAGTAATTATATAGTACTTCAGAATGCTTATGAGACATTAGAAAACATTACACACCAAAAAATTCTAGTACCAACATTTTTGAACAGTAATGATTTACCCAACAATATCTGTGAATTGCCTTATGGCTATAAAACGTATATAAAATTTTACCTCAAACTTAAAGGAAGTAGAAAGTGTATTTATTAAAATAGCTGCATGTCATAATATTATATTTTAGAGCTCCTGTATTGTTTGAAAGAGATTTCATCAGACACAATGTGAAATGTTATTATTAAGCAATACACTATATGTAATTATTACTTTTTTAGGAGCATATCAGACACATTCATATCAACCCTACATCGAGTGTATTTTACAATGCGACAGATTTCACAAGGAAGCTTGATTTAGGAAGAACAAACTTTTGGCCTATTGAGCAAGACGATATGGTGTGGTAAAAAATAAAAAATGATACAATCACATTTCATGTTTTAAGGAATTGGAAATGTTAATACTATCTGGTGGTCCTTACATGTGACATTGTAAAAACTTGTGTACCTGTCCTCAGTGATACCATAAAAAGAATTGTACTTCCAGAAGTGAGTAAAACAACCAAGTTAGATAACAGAACTATGATTGTGATTAAACTTCTATTTTTATATCTGCACTAAATTAATGGAAAAGAGATTTAACATTACTTATGCAGAAGCATTTATGTTTTATAAAGCAAAGACATTTAAATAATAATTTTTAGTCTAATTTTACTTGAAATTAATCTCTCAATTCATTGTCTCCTGAAATGGATACAGCCACAATTATTTGCAACCCAGGCAGTACATATAGTAGATCTAGTTTTTGGTAGGTTAAATATAAATCTGAGTAAAGGTAGAAGAGACAGAAATTGGAAATGCCAGGAATAGTAAATAACATTAGTTTATGGCATTCATTTTGAGTTGTGCTGCTATAATCATTTTTGTCAAATTCCTGTTTCTTCACAAGCCTTGTCTGTGAGTGATGACACTAATCAATTATCGAGCTGTAATGAATTAAATTTTGTGAGCATGCCCAGTTGTTCAATGAGCTTACATTTTGTTGAAGAAGAGTTTGGTAATCTGACAAATGTTTTAAATCCCAACTGATCCAGCTAAAACAGTCTTTAAGACATCTCGACAGTCTAAGAACCTAGACGTCTTGACAGGAAACAGAAAGATCCTGGAGGTGATGTGTGGTAAAGTTTGAGAATAAGGACACGGACCACTCTTTCTGAGAAAAAGTGGTAATCTACTTGGTCCTAAGAGAAAGCAATTGAGACCATAATGTTATAACTGTGGCCAGATACGACATTTCATTAAAGACTTAAAAAGAGTGTTTTCATACTGACCGAAAACCCAGGCACAATGTGAAGCAAGATATGGAAGACATACCCAATACAGAAAATGAAAACTACGCCTTTGAAGATGGAGTCTTCTGCACTGGGTCACCAGATTCTTCCTCAAGTAGCAGATGGTTAATCGATTTGGGAGCTACTCGAAATAACTGATGTTCAACTACCATGAGCTGAAGTCGCCACAGAGAGTGAGCTTAGGGGATGGTCATACTGTCGAAGCAGTCGGCATAGGGGAAATATGAGTAACAATGATCTTCAAGGTTAGTAAACACAAAACATGTCTTATGAAAGATGTCCTTCATGTACCCAAGCTTACGCATACTTTATTCTCTGTGAGGGTGGCAGCTTCAAAGGGAAATAGCTTTGAATTTGGAAGAGGAAAATGCTGGATACAAAATAAAAATGAAAATCTTATGGGCATGGTTTATCTGGAGAAAATGCTGTTTGTGCTAAATAGTGAGCCCATAGTTCAAGAGTGTGCTTCAATAGCATCTGAGAATAAGTCACAAAAATTAATTGAGTTGTGGCACAAAAGTCATGGGGATTTAGGGGAACAGCAAATGAGAGAGATAGTTCCTAATACTCCCAAATCAGAAGGTTTCTCCTTTTGTGAGCCCTGCATACAAGGCAAGCAACATAGAAAGCCATTTCAATCCTTAAAAGAAATAAGATCCCAAGGAAGATATAAGGCACTCACAGTGATGTGTGTGGGCCAATGCCTACTGAAGCCAATGCCTACTGAATCACTGGGTAGGAAGAAGTATTTTGTGTCCTTCATTGACGACTACACTAGATATTGTAGCATTGATTTAATGAGAAATAAGTCCATTGTCACAGACAATTTAAAAAAGTTTGAAGCCCTCATTTGTAACCTGACTGGCCTTATGGTTGGTACTTTACGTTCAGATAATGGTGGTAAATACTCCGTTGAAGCTAGCCACACATTCACCAGCCTCACATACCGTAGTAAACTAAAATTAAATTTCTGTCGTTTCAAAACATTCCTAAGCAAATGCGTGGGCAAGTGACTATAATAACATTCTTAATTCTTGTTTTTTTTTGGAATTTGGATGATGAGTCTTTAGAACTGTTCCTTGTCTGACTTATTGTATTAACATTTAATAATATTGAGTGTTTCTTTATTTGTAGGGAAACATGAGAAGCATTCAAGTCATTTGAAAATGAAAAAATTGAACTGCTAAACTAGTCAACTCTAGTTATATGCATTGAAAGCTATCTTCCCTATGATTATTATTAACCAAAAATAAATTAATTTATAAAAACATGTAGATACCATGATACCATTAAATGTGACCATAATTGACAAAAGGTACCTTATGGCGGATTTTAAAATTCATCATTATAATGAAAAATATCAACCTGTGAGTGCTCTGTTGAAAAACTATTGTTTCTAAAAGTTACATAGTAACTTTTTGCATCCTGTTCAGTAATTTTATAATAAATGGAGCTCAGGAAGTTCGGTTTTTATGGCTATAAAGACACATTTCACTACCCGCCATAAGGTACCTTTTGTCAATTATGGTCACAAATTGCAAATGTATCAATAAATCAGTTACATGTACAGATCAAAATACAATTATAATTGATATCCATTATTTTATTTTTATTAATACTTTGCAATTATAATAGAACAACAGATTAAAATGACAAAAAGTCTAGACAATGAAAAGTTGAGGGCCTGAGTCTTACAGAAACAATGAAATGAATGTAAAACTATGCATGGGAGGCATAGATCTGTTAGAGTAAGCTCATCATAAAAAAACAAACTAGAAAATGACTAAAAGCATTTGAAAAAATATGAAATAATAATAATAATGATAATAATATCTATTAATACCTCCATTAAAAATTTATATATCACATGAAAAACAAAGCACTATTATAGAGTGAAAAAAGTAAACAGAATGTAGGAGGGGAAACAACAACTACACCTACCAAGGTGACACCCATTTTCACAACCTCTAGATGTAGATGCACATAAAAATGAGTCTTCTGTCCATCCACTAACTTTAGTTTTTGCTGACTATGGGAAAATGTGACTAAAATTTGTCATTTTGTCTTAGTCCTGGGAATGACAACCACACCCACCAAAGTGACACCCATTTTCGCAGCCACTACATGTAGACGCACATAAAAATGAGTCTTGTCCATCCACTAACTTAGTTTTTGCTGACTATGAGAAAATGTGACTAAAGTTTGTCATTTCATCTTAGTCCTGGGAGTGACAACCACATCCACCAAAGTGACACCCATTTTCACAACCCCTAGATGTAGACGTACATAAAAATGAGTCTTTTGTCCATCCACTAACTTTAGTTTTTGCTGACTATAGGAAAATATGACTAAAATTAAACATTTCGTCTGAGTCCTGGGAGTGACAACCACACCCACCAAAGTGACACCCATTTTCACAACCCCTAGATGTAGACGTACATGAAAATGAGTCTTTTGTCCATCCACTAACTTTAGTTTTTGCTGACTATAGGAAAATGTGACTAAAATTAAACATTTCGTCTGAGTCCTGGGAGTGACGACCACACCCACCAAAGTGACACCCATTTTCACAACCCCTAGATGTAGACGCACATAAAAATGAGTCTTTTGTCCATCCACTGACTTTAGTTTTTCCTGACTATGGGAAAATGTGACTAAAATTAAACATTTTGTCTTAGTCCTGGGAGTGACAACCACACCCACCAAAGTGACACCCATTTTCACAACTCCTAGATGTAGACGCACATAAAATTGAGTCTTTTGTCCATGCAATAACTTTAGTTTTTGCTGACTATGGGAAAATGTGACTGAAATTTATCATTTCATCTTAGTCCTGGGAGTGACAACTACACCTACCAAAGAGACACCCATTTTCACAACCCCTACGTGTAGACACACAAAAATGAGTCTTGTCCATCCACTAACTTTAGTTTTTGCTGACTATGAGAAAATGTGACTAAAGTTTGTCATTTTGTCTTAGTCCTGGGAGTGACAACCACACCCACCAAAGTGACACCCATTTTCACAACACCTAAATGTAGACACACATAAAAATTTGTCTTTTGTCCATCCACTAACTTTAGTTTTTGCTGACTATGAGAAAATGTGACTAAAATTAAACATTTCGTCTTAGTCCTGGGAGTGACAACCACATCCACCAAAGTGACACCCATTTTAACAACCCCTAGATGTAGACGCACATAAAAATGAGTCTTGTGTCCATCCAATAACTTTAGTTATTGCTGACTATGAGAAAATGAGAGTGAAATTTGTCATTTTGTCTTAGTCCTGGGAGTGACATCCACACCCACCAAAGTGACACATATTTTCACAACCCCCAAATGTAGACGTACAGAAAAATGAGTCTTTTGTCCATCCAATAACTTAAGTTTTTGCTGACTATAGGTATGTATGCAAAATGTTAAGTTATGCAATTGATGAAGGTGATAACTTGTTACTACTGCTGTCTCCTGAGACACCTGGCATTGTGCAATATCAGTGTGACCAATCAGAAGCTCAGGCTGGTATATTACCTAATACTTTTGACCGTGTCTTCACTTTTGAATTTTTATCTTCAGAGAAAGGAATCTACAGTTAGTATGGTAAGTGAAATGGCTAAGGATTAGGACATTTAAGGTCTATTTTATGTAGGCACCAAAAGCTAAATTCAAAAGTATTAATTCAGATGATTTAGCATTATTTATAGCAAAAGAAGGCTACCCACCACCAAAAGCATCAAGTGTTAAAGATGGGTACTGGGTGACATAGGCGGCTGCAGGGGCAGGCAATGAGGGCAATGCCCTACTAGAATGTCTTACCGGAAGATGACATCATCATAATTAGCAGTTAATTAATAGTTATTTAGTAGTTATGGCATGATTAATTCATAATTATAGCTAATTATAATGACAAAAACTACATTATTTTGCTCCACAAAGTGATAATTAGTGGAGAATAAGCTGCTAACTGCATGGTTTATTCACAGTAAGCTTCATAGGTCCATATCTATGGCCACTTCAGGAAGACATAATCTACAGTAACCAGCAGCTAGAATAACTGACTCTTTCATGTAGCAGCTTCATTATTATCATCATAGTCAGCTAGGACTCATTCAACAGCTAAATCACCTAGCTATAGATACTCTATATTGATAGAGGTCTTTTAGGTGCTAAAATTTTCTCCTTTTGAACATAAGAATGGCAGGGTAACTCTTCATTGACAGAGGCGTCACTGCAGGTAGGGCAGTTGCCTCACCAATATTTTGAAGATCAGTAGCCATTTTTTATTAAAATTAGTTATTAATTCAAGTTAATTCATTTAATTACCTTCCAGAAAAGACTCCATCACTGCTTACTTCTTCACACACACCAACAACTGACTCATAATGTAGAAATACAGTCGGTAGTTAAGCAATTTATTGCTGCAAATGAACTCCATTATGAATTTTGGGCTTCAAAAGTTAATCAATCAATCAATTAATCGACCAAAATTGACCACACCCACCATGAATATTAATTAGATATGGCAAAAATTTTCACGCGCTTCGTGCGCAAAAACATTCCTTCTCCTCTATGCACCTAGTGCCCTACCAATCTTTCAAGGCCAGCGACGCCCCTGACTGAGTAGTTCAGAGATTTTTTCAACTGGATTTTTCCCCAAATTGCTGAATTAGAAGTCATAACAGGCTTAAACTCAAGAGCATGGCATGTGGGTGCGGTCAGAGCCACACCTACTTTTGACCACTCCCACTTTTAGCCACACCTTTGCCCTACTTGCAGTAAAATCCTGCAGCCACTTATGCTGGGTGAAAGCTGCTCAGCATTGCTGCAGAGTGAAACACCCATCAGTGCAATTGTGATGCTGTGCGCCATCGATGGGAGAGAAATTTTGAATGTGTTCAACAAAAAGTATCAGAGGTACACATAAGCCATCTCCAATAATGTCAGATGTAAAGTCCATTAAAACTTGATGTACAGCATATTTTATTGTGTTATAGAGCACTCAATAAGTACATCTACAACAAGAATATAAAAACGAGAGAGGTGACATAGAAACTGTAAACAATATTCCCCTTTGGTGGTGCTTGTTTTACTTCATCTTTGCAGAATGAAAGTGCTACTGGATTATGTTTGAAACTCATTACACCCTGTGAAAATGTACACGTAGGTTGTACAATTAATAACAATAAATACACAACAACTCTCATTTAGAATGAGAGTTTAACAGCTACATGTACACCTAAGAAAAAGGAGTTAGATATCAAGGTAAGAAGTAAATTCTTTATTATCTACCATATAGCGCTGTAATTTGGCGGAGTTTTACTTTGGCGATTGGCGGTTTGCAAGCAGAATCACCAATATTACAACCACCAATCATCAAAGTACATGCTCAGTAATGCAGGTATGGACAAAAATCGCCAAATTAAAAACCGCCAATTAAAATGTTACATCAAAATTGCCAAAGTGAAGCGCCACCAAAATAAAGCACTATATGGTATTGTTATATGTAGACGCAGGTATTAGACTTTACTGCTGTTGACAAAAATACACCACAAGAGGAGTAAAAAAAAAGGGATCTATTACTAAGGTAGTTTTTAACAGTAATATCAATTTTGTTATTTTTACAAAACATTACTTTCTATTTCAAAAAAAATTTTTAGAGTTATCACAATTAAATTAATAATTTTGTGAGAAAGAGAGTCTCCGCATCCGATTCTGTCACCAGCTTGCTCTATGAAGTCTAAGAGTCTGACCGTGATCCGTTCCGACGAACTCTGGGGCTAAACGATGAATCCAACAGTTGCTCCTTTAGTTAGCGCAGCTGAATGAATGGCTAAATTGCGAAGAGTTAACAAATTGTA